AGCTGTAAAAAGTCGGTCCTTCAGGGACAAAACGTATATTCAGCAAACAACAGGACCAGGCAAAACGCAGGCGGACGGCGAGTGAAGCATATCGGTATATACAGCTACTTGGATCCATAATTAACGACCCTTGCGAATGCATGACATTTTTCCTTTGGTTCAGTCAAACAAACTCACTCCAATGCGTCCGACTGTTGGCCAATCCGCGTGCATGCGAGAAACGTGTGAACGTCCAATCGACTGCCGCCTTTCCTTGCGGCAGCCTAACGGCTTCCTTGCTGGGCTGGCACCGCACGTTCGTTCGAGTGTATACTCCCATCACATCCTCCCTTTTTCCATGCCTTTGCTGCTGTACTTTGCTAAATAGTCCATACACTTTACCACTCCGCGTCCTCTTTGTTGGATCTGCCTATGTCGCCTCATTGCCGCACGCAGTATAACGCTCTCTCCCTGATTCATGCTGTCGCCTCGGACATCTCCTCAGCTGCACTCGGTTTCTTCTCAGCTTCTTCCCTCCAACATTTACTTCATATGACCTTTCACCGACTTTCACAGCCACGACTCCTTTTCTCCACCGTTCCTGTCCATCGGGATTTGGTTCAACCCATACTCCTCCCCCCCCCCTGTCAGCTCAGGTAATTCCCGTGCGCCGTTGTCGTAGTACCGTTTCTGAGTAGCCATTCGCCTTTTCAAACTGTTTTGTACTTTCTCAAGTTGTGGCGTGACAGGGCGCAGAAGTGTTGCGGATGCAGGCATCACAGTTCTGGTCCTTCGACTGTATAGGCGCTGCACTGGGCTCAGGCCGATATCCGTTGAAGGAGTGTTGCGACTCTCCAGTAGCATGAGGTATGGGTCCTCCCGAGTGTCTCTAGCCTTCGCTAATAGTCGCTTGGCTTGCTTCACTGCCGACTCTGCCTTCCCATTTTATTGACTGTGATAGGGACTGGTTTGCCGGTGTGCGAATTCCCATTTGGCTGTGAAAACCTGGAATGCCCGGCTGCTGAACTGGGGACCGTTGTCCGAGACTAGCTCCTCCGGTATCCCGTGCCGTGCGAATTGACATCTGAGTTTGTTGATTACTGCCTCCGTGGTGGTGGTGGTGGTGGTGAGTAAATCAATTTCAAAGTAATCACTATAGTAGTCCATCGTGAGTAAGTAATCCTTTCCGTTGTCCCAGAATAGATCCACTGCTACCTTTTGCCACGGTCGGTCCGGAACATCATGCAGCATCATCGGTTCCTTCGTTTGCCGAATGTCGTGTGAACGGCACACCTCACAGTTAGATACATGATCCTTGATCTGACCTGTCATTCCTGGCCAGAACATCAGTTCTCTTGCTCGATTAATGGTGTAATTTGCACCCAGGTGAGCGCGATGGACATGCTCCAGCATCTCCTTTCGGAGAGAAGAATGGATTAGGACTCGACATCCCTTGAACAACAGACCGTCACAGACAGTGAGTTCGTCCCGAAAATTGAAGTAGGGTGTTAATTCTTTCGGGAGCTGCTTCTTTGTTTCTGGCCACCCATTGAGGATAACGTCTCGCAAGGCTGCAAAAGTTTGGTCTTCCTCCGTGAAACGCCTTATGTCTTTCAAACGGTTTTCTGTCACTGCCAGATGCTGCACCATGCTAACTGTCTCGATCTCTTCTAGATGATGTTCGGCCACTGGCGGATGTGCTCTCGACAGGGTGTCCGCGATGAACATCTGTGTGCCAGGTGTGTACACAATGTCAATGTCATACTTTTGGAGCCGGATAAGCATACGCTGCAGACGGCGAGGAACGTTATTCAGTGGTTTAGTGGCTATCGACACCAGCGGCTTATGATCAGTGTGCACGGTTGTCTTTCTTCCAAAAGTATAATTATTGAAACGCTCCATGGCATAGACCACTACCAGCATCTCTTTCTCGATCTGTGCGTACCGCTTCTCGGCCTCTGTGAGTGCTCGACTGCGGAAATCCAAAGGTCTTCCGTTCTGCAATAGAACAGCACCTATTCCACTCTGGCTACTATCACACTGTACCTCCAATGGTTGTGCTGGATCGTAATATCCGAGTAGCTCAGTGGTCTCAACCACGGACTGGCAACAGTCGAGTTGCGGTTTCGAGCCCTACCAAGGGTCCGATGGAATGCGCACTGCTGATGATTCCCGAAAGGATGAAACGCGCGTACCGTCGCAACGAGACTGGACCTTAACGTGGTGCGACGGTTTGCGTACCTCATTGACCCATTGAGCTATACTGGGTGATGCCTCCGAGCATCTTGAGAGCTACTCCTACCAGGTTGGTCAATGGTGAGAGGTCAGACAAACTCAGTCTCCTGGTCCTCCAGGTTGGGGGTTTGAAATGGGATGGCGTCCATTTCTGTAAAACTAAATCACTGCCACCCCGCTGCCTTGCGGACAGGCTTTTGAGCCAAAGGCTTTGGATGAGGACCCTAATCGTTCTCCTGTCTAGGTCTGGGCGCCCTGGCAGTATCCCAGCCCACATACAACCATGACATTTTCTTCAAACATAAATTTCATCCTGCATCGGCCGTCGCGCAGATTATCAAGGGTCGCCTTATCTGCTGCATACAGCAGGGCGGATAAGCGAAAGCATGCTACTGCTGGCGCCTCCCTTCTTTCTTTTCCACCTTTTTCTCTTACTCCCATCCCGGCCCCCATTACTAACCTTCCTTCTATAATTCCCAGCTTAATTGACAGCAACCGAAGTGCTACTGGAGTAGAACCATCTGCAGCCACCATCCCACAGCACCTATCGGACGCCTATCGGCAAAAGTTCCTTATAAGGCCACGCTGTCCCGTTACCATGGCGACATTCAACGTCCGCACTCTAAGACAAACAGGTCAGCAGGCTGCACTCGCACGCACCTTAGACACACTGGATGTTGATGTGTGTTGTGTGTCCGAAACTAGGATTAATGACCCTAACGGGGTTATTGAATTGACTGCACCCGGCTTATCCTCTCGTTATTGGTTGCACGCATCCGGAGACGCCGATGCGGCACTCACGGGTCAAGCTGGTGTAGGTATCATTCTCAGCTCCAAGGCTGAGTCATCGTTGGTTGATTGGATTCCGGTGAACAGCCGTTTATGTGCAGCCCGTTTGACGACATCAGCTAAGGTGAATTCGCGAAGTAAAACAAAACGCTGTTTGTTTGTGATTTCTGCTTATGCTCCCACGGACTGCAGTTCTAATGCAGTCAAGGACACTTTCTATCACGAACTGAACACGCTGCTACGCAGTGCTACTAGTTCAGATATTGTAGTACTTGCAGGGGATATGAACGCACAAGTAGGGCGTCTGAGCTCTTCAGAAGCTCAGCTGGGTGGTAAGTATGGACTTAACGCCGAACGGACTGACAACGGCGAGCGTCTGCTGCAACTGTGTGCGGAGCACCAGTTGTTTCTTACTAGCACTGCTTTTAGACACAGTGGGCGCCGAAGTGCCACTTGGCGTCCACTTGTAGCTGGTCAGCGATGGACCCAAATTGACCACATAGCCATAAGTTACAGGTGGCGCGGTTCCATTCTGGATTGCCGCTCGTACTGGAGTACCTGTGTCGACTCTGACCATGCCTTGGTGCGCTGTCGTTTCTCCATGAACTTTACCGGAAGGCGCACAAAGCGTCTCCCCCGATTGGCAACGGAGAAATTGTCCCAGCCCTCTGTCAGGCAAGCCTATCAAGAAGCACTGCATAGCGAACTCTCGCTGTCTTGTCCTAATGACACTGAACTTCAGTGGAATAGGATCTCGGCCGCTATGCACGACGCAGGAGCATCTGTTTGTGGCACTATCAGTCGTCATCGCACCAGTCACTGGATATCCGAGAGGTCCGTGAACCTTTTGGAAGCTAGAAGGCACCTCCCGGCTGGTTCTGAACACAATGTGACCAGACGGGCTATTAGGCGTGAACTAAAGCGGAGCCTACGTGCTGACAAGGAAGCCTGGTGGACCAGTCGGGCTCAGGAAATGGAGGAAGCAGGAGCAGTAGGCAATTACCGCAAGCTCTTCCAGCTAATCCGCACCACTGGTCCGAGGAAACCAGGCGTCAGTGAGACAATCAGGGACAGCGCGGGTGCGCTGATACACAATAAGGAGCGCCGTATGGCTCGTTGGGTTGAGCACTTTGAACATCAGTTCAGCTGGCCCCCTGCTCCCGGACCTCTTCCTACTCAGGTGATGCAGGACGAGCCATGGACGGTTAGTTTAGAGCCCCCGTCGGAGGCCGAGGTCCGAAACGCGATCACAGCCCTCAATCGTTTTCGTGCCGCTGGCCCGGATTCCCTTCCACCTGCACTATTTAAGGATGGAGGTGAGGTCCTCTGCAAAGCACTGACCTCCCTATTCGAACGTATCTGGAACGAAGAGAGTGTGCCCGGCTAATTGGAGCGAATCGATTATAGTGGCAATATACAAAAAGGGCAGTCGCACAGACTGTGCGAACCACAGGGGTATTAGCCTAACGCCAGTTGTGACAAAATTACTGGCCTCGATTATCGTTCGTCGCCTCACTGCAGAATGGGAATCTCGGATTAGAGAAGAGCAGGCCGGTTTTCGCCCAGGACGTGGCTGTATAGACCATATATTTACTTTGCGGCAGGTGCTAGAGCAGCGCCACGCATACCGCAGACCGACAATAGCTGTGTTCCTCGATTTCAAGAGTGCGTTCGATTCGGTCGATCGATCGATTCTGTTCGAAATACTTGCGCGAAAAGGTGTTCCCACGAAATATGTGAACATCCTTCGTGCTCTATACTCGAACACTAGAGGCCGCGTCAGGGTCTATGGTACCCTATCGGATAGCTTTTCGACTACAAGTGGCGTTCGACAGGGTTGCCCGATTTCCCCGTTTTTGTTCAATTTCGTCGTGGATTCTATCATGGAGTGTTCCCTTGCGGAATCTCACGATGTAGGTGTTGAAGTGCTGCCTGGTGAACGGTTAGTTGATCTAGATTATGCGGACGATATCGTCTTGCTTTTCGACAATGTTGAGGCGGCACAATCAACCCTGAATAGCCTATCCAGAGTGGTCCCATTATTTGGTATGCACTTCGCACCTTCAAAGTGCAAAGTGTTGCTGCAGGACCACCAGCCACTCGATGACCCCTTGACGCTTGCTAACGAGGAACTCGAGGTGGTTGATCAATTCACTTATCTTGGCAGCTGCATCAGCAATGATGGGCGCATAGAAATTGACGTGAGCTCACGCATTGCAAAGGCCAGAGCTGCCTTCTTGAACCTGCGTCATCTGTGGCGACAGAAGGGAGTTTCCCTCCGTCTGAAAGGCCGTGTATACAAGGCCACAGTGAGGGCCGTTCTGCTTTATGGTAGTGAGACTTGGCCCCTTCGGTCTGAAGATCTGAGGCGCCTTCAAGTCTTTGATCATCGTTGTTTGCGAAGCATTGCTGGTGTCGGATGGCACCAGCGTGTCCGCAACGATGATGTGCGTAGGCGAGTACTAGGTGGTGATGATCATGCTAGCTCCCTAGAACAACAGATAGCACGGAATAAGTTACGTTGGCTCGGGCACGTGCTACGCATGCCTGGTCACCGCTTACCTAGGAGGGCCTTGTTCAGTCTACCAGGTGTCGGATGGCGCAAGGCTCGAGGTGGACAGAAGTTGACTTGGCAGCGGGAAATGAAGTCACTGACGACCAAACTGGGTGCCGTTGGTCCGTCTCGTCTTCCGGGTTGGAGTCCAAGTGACTCACCTTGTGCTTGGCTCGAGACTTTACAGGACATGGCTCGCAACCGACACCAGTGGCGCGTGTGCTGCCGTCTCCTAATTGGATTGTCTGTTTAAAGTGTGTTTGGTGCTGAGTTATCTGCGGGGTAATGGCTGATTATGACGCGTGGCAGTGAAAGCCGCAAGGAAGCTGTCTCGCCGATGCCGCCTTATCTTTGCACGATAGCCAGCTGTTTGTGACGGAATGTTGTTAACACAAGGTGTAGGCGCCTTGACCCTGAATGTTTGCTTAGGGCATTAAGGTTTTCAGGTAAGTCCCCCTTCTCTCCCTCTTCTTATTCTTTATTTCATAGGTCCTCATGGTTGTATGGCAGCGAAGCATCAGTTCAAATAGCTGATGTACTGCTGTTGATGATGATGATGATGATTTAACTGGACTGTTCCACCCAACCCGAGTGCCAACCTTTCGTGGCCACCCACTGAAGTTGCACAAACCTAGATCTGACGGGATTGGGACAGGTTTTCGGTTTTCGCGCAGGGTCAAAGGTTATTGGAACGCACTTCATGCAGATGTAATGCGACCGACGGTGAAATAGTTTGAACATCGACTTGACGCCATCGATCCGCAGTTAAAAATATTCTCCTTCATTCGTTAAGCTTTTACTCGTCGAGTACGGTTTTAATTTATTTCCACCTGCGTCTCAACATTACTTATGTAATTTGGTAAGCTTTTGCTTCACCTTATTTCCTTTTGTTTTCTTTTATTGACGTGGCCGGCACAGCTGGGAATGCAAGTGCAGTGCACCTGAGCATTGTTAGGTTGGCCACGTGAACCGCGTGTGCTGATCTGGCACTCCTTTGGCAGATCAATCCACCGCATTCCCCGTTGGCTCAACGACGATTCCGAAGGTGGAACAATCACGGGATCTTCTAAATGTTCCGGTCCTAAGTGAACCTGAATTGGCAATTCAGAGTGCCTTGGATAGGCTCTGGGATTGGTCAACCTTATGGTTGATGCCCATAAATCAGGCGAAATGTTCTGTTCTCCGCATTGGAGGTGCTAGTCAGCCCACGCACTATGTAGTTGGTGGAAGTGAAATCCCAGTTGTCACTCAGCAAGTTGATCTAGGCATCGTCCACATTTCATTGCTTCACTCTGGGGACAATTTGAGGAAGACTGCTTGTAGAGGGTTCCGTATGATGTGGTTTATTCGTCGCCCCTTCGGTATCCTAACGGCCTACATTTTTGTAAAGCTGTTAGCTTTTGTGTGACCACACTTAGAATACTGTATCCAGGCTTGTCCACTATATATTGTAAGGGACAAAATGGAACTAGAGAGGGTTTTGCGAGTGGGTATAAGGTTAGTGCATGCTTTACGGGAGCAAATGTATCCCGAACGTTTGCTTAACTTAGGTATGTACTCCATGCAGTATTGGAGAATTAGAGGAGACTTGATCCTCCCTTACCGTGTCCTAACGGGTAAGATCGGTCGACTTGTCCTGGCTATTTAGTCCCGCCAACCTGCCTAGTCTCCGAGGTATAGTGAACATGAAACACAGTCTTCAGTATTTTGTGACATTGGATCTTCTTGTTTGTATCTTCCGATGGTCCATTGCTTTCACTGGCGGTTCACTTTCGAATTCTCTGGGATTCGCATACTACCTTGCTCTGTGCTCCTGGTAATTTGCTTCTAGCTCATTGCAACTCTGTAATACACATTGGGTCCGGTTACTTAGTCATTTATGAATAATTGATGTCCGTATTGGTTCCTACTGGTTCTCGTCGCAACCAGTACCCAAATTCTGCTCTACAACCGGTGACCCCGGTTGCGAACTCCATCGCAGCCATCTTATATCCCGCACCCCGGTGAGACTAAATCTTGTCGTTTTTGTTTCGTTTTCCGTTTTTCACTGTTTAGCATCCTTTTATCATGTCTGACCCGGACGTTTAACTTCCCAGTCCTGCTTTCAGTGCTGTAACCTTTCCTATACAACCGTGTATTAGTAGCGATTCAGTTTTGGCTTGTAATGTTAAATTCTGAGTTTACCCCCTATAGGATCACCGCTGATTCAGTAAAGTGTAGCCACCTACTAGCTTGCTTGCGCAACAGCGTAAGCCTGCAACTCAGGGACCATTTAATGCAGCCTGTTTCTGAGCAACGTTACGATACTCTTAACCCCTTTTTGCCGGCTCTAATTTCTCGATGTCCAAAAATCTTTTGCGTTGGTTATCTGACTAAACTGTCGATGCTGAATTTGGTACAGACAGTTAATTTGATTATAAAACCTATTTTAGATTTATGTTT